ACCTTCAATCATACAGTAATGGTGGTAATGTCAGCGACGGGGGTTCCAGTTTCGGTGCGTATACCGCTGGAGCGAGTGCAGTAATGATTACACTGCGGATTTCCATGCGAAAGCAGGATCTTCTCCAGCGATTAGGGGAGAGGATCGAGTAAAAATTGAGTTTCTCTGTTAAAGACTTTAATCGTTCAATTACGAAGATTTCTCTGCTCTACATTTCGAACTACATTTAAGTACTCCAACATTGTAAAATTCGTAGTCTGACGATAATGATCACGCCGAAAGCCCAAAAGAAGTTAAGCGAAGTTAAGTTAAGAGACTTAACTTAACGTAGCTTCAGCATTTGAACCACTAGGTCCAGAACCAAAGCGTATCTACAGACGAAAACGGTCTCACTCGAATTTTTCCATTTGCAGAAAGCATCGCCGAAGAAACCGAAAACTTCCGGCAAGCCTGTTCCCTCGAGTTACTTCTCGGGAATGCGTATTTGCATAAAGTACCGCAGTTTGAACGATTACTTCACTCGACTCTGTAATAACCGATAAGTCACGACAACTGGATGGATGGGCCTCAAGTGGACACGCGATAAATCTTTTCCTGCGGCAAGGAAAAATCGTAATCTAGCTTCGCTACTCCGAAAACTCGAAAACTCCGTTCGTACAGTTGAATCCGTTGAAACCGTTCCGAGTTTCAAATATTAAACGACCTTGAAATTTCATTCCAGATAGACGGTCTAGCTCCACTGCACAACGAGAAGTAGTCCGCGTTCCCTGGCAAGGACCCAGCCGGAGATTAAAGGATCGTTAAAGGGATGATGCGTCGACGAAAAAGAGAAATTGTGTCGTGCTGAAAAGTAAAACCAGAAACGCGGGTACCCGGTCAGCCCGAGAGCATCGATAGGGGGTCATTTCGGCGAATCACCGAGGCGAGGGCGAGAGAAGCGAGTGGAGGCTCCTGCGGGTTCTGCGCACTGGCACGGAGCTTCCCTTTCCGTTTCCCTCCGGACAGAGGGACCGAGGGGCCGCTATTCTACGGGTGGAAAGTTCCACGTCGAAAATTCGCGGGGGCGTGCTCCGATTTAGCGGTCGCGTAAACCGCGCGGCCTCCGTCTGTGACGTAACGTTTGACGCTCGTGATTTCATTCGCAAGCCGGCTCCGCCACCCTCGACGCGCTAGCTCGTCGTCCACCCCCGACGGGCAGCGTCTACCGTGCGTGTATACAGGGTGAGTCATTTAACCGTGCCACTACACGCCGCGCGATACAAGAATGTACAAGTTGCAGAGAATATTGTACGTTCGTTCTATGAAAGAAGCGATTTGGTATCGAGTAGATCAACTTTGGTTTCAATTGATACCGAGCAACTTCTAAATACTTTCTTAACGATTTGCAAATAAACGGCGTAATTGAATGATTCACCGTGTACACGGAGTCCTCGATGTTATGAATCTGGAGGAAGATAAACACTCGTGGCTGGAGTGTGTTCAGGTTTCGCTTTTCATTGGACAATTTCCAAAGGTTGAGTAATGGAGGTTTGCTTTCTTGAGATTGTATCAGTCGATTAGAGTTCATGCGAAGTATGAAATTTTGTTCTATTTTGTATAGTAGATATTTTGCAGGTGTTTGAACGTTTCGAGTCCGTCTGTGTGGAGTTAGGGGAAGAAGAAGTTTTGACGATTACTGCAATGGTTTGATAACGGTGGTGCCGATAAAGAAAGGCTAACAATTGATTACATTGTATGAACTGGAAGCTAATAATTGATTACTCGATTTCCAGGGGAAATCGAATCAGAAGACACTCTTTCGACCGGCCGATGTCTTTCGGAGCAGCGACTGAACCTCTTAGCTCGTTTCCGAAATTAATGCGATTACTCGCGGTTGCTTAACTTCCCCGCGACTTTAACAAGCTTATCTCCAGTTTCCATCAATTTACATAGCAATTCGAAACTGCGCGCTGCCAGCCGCGGGTCCCCGTTGTCACCCCGTGCAACGTCGGCGGTATCTCCCATCTTCGGGCTATCTATAGTCGGCCGTTTCATATTGAATAAACTTGGTTACGCGGTCGGGCACGAGCGTGTTTAAAGCCCCCTGCACACGCTGCGACGTATGTAAATGGAATAATTCAGCAACTGGTGCGATTGTCGACGATGAACCGAGAAGAACGGGACGAAAACGAAACCGCGGAGGCGAAACGACGCTGACGCGAGTTTTCTAAAAGAACGCATCGTCGCAACGTGCTCCGACGTGTGTAGGAGGCTTAACCGTCGGTCACAGAAGCGTGTCTCGGACCTAGCGACGTTTCCGTCGGAATTGTAATCGAGTTACCCGCGATATCGGCTGGTGGTATAGGTCGCGGGGAAGATGGCGGCCGTGGGGTTCAAGGGCGAATTTGATAGGATTTTATCGTTCGCCCGGGTTTCCTTCCTCGGATTTCCGGGCTCGGAGGGGTAGGGGACCGAGCCAGTTTCTTCTTTCGAACGGTGGATGACTTCGCCTCCGTGGAATTTCGGAGATACGCGAAAGACATGTATTTTTAAGCGGTGCTCGTGGCTTACGGAAATAGCGCGCCGCGTTTACGTAGACATCGACGCGGATAGGGATGCTATAGAGTTCGCTTTCGACGAGGGCATCGGGAATTTTTAATAATTGATACGCGGCGTAGATCAATTTAACTCTTCGCACTCGGTAGGTGACCGAGTCGCGTCGGTTGGCTCGATACAGGGAAATTCTCGAGCTAGATTTCCAATACGAAATCTCGCGTGACGTAATAACGACGACGACAGTGAAACATCGGAACGAAACGGTTCTGCCTCTCGACCGATGCATCGATTCGCCTTCACGAGGAAAGCGTCATTGATATTTCATGAAGAATCGCGAAGGTTCCCGAGCGCGAAGGGTTATTAGTTTGAATATTAATGCGAATGTTCGATTTACCTCCTCCATTCTGTTGGCACAGATAAGGGAACCTCCATATGTTCCCGAGGCCCACGCTGTACCCGATGATGCTGAGGAAGAACTGCATCTTCCCGCTCCATGCCGCCCTGTTATCCTCCTTGGTCTCCTGTCCCGCGGCGGCATTTTGCGTGCCAGTCACGACGATCGTCACGTTCTGCCCGGGCTGACGGTTCTCGTTCAGCGGAGCCAGCTCGTGCCCATTCCTCGTGGTCTCGTTCTTGACTACCATTCTTTGCCTCGGTGTCTCCGTTGTTTAAAAACCCGAAAAACCC